CCAATCTCTCTCTCCCAATCTCCCCATCTAGCACAAACAATCTTCCACCACATTTTCTTCTTCTCCCCAAGAGATCTCCACAGTCATTTCCCATGGAAAGCCCGATTTAACTCCACAATATACTTCAAGCTGAGGCCTCCCTCCCAAATCGGTTTTTTAACCTCCTCCCACCTAATCAAATGATACTTTTTGTTACCATCTTCATCACCCCCAAAGGAATCTACACTGAATGCTTTCAAGTCTTCTTGCGATGCTGGCCAGAATTGTTATGATGGATAGATAGTAGATTGGTAAGTTAACAAGTGTGCTCTTAATTAAAGTGAGTCTCCCCGCTTTAGAAAGGAAATTCCTCTTTCAACCCGCTAACCTCCTATCAAACATGTCAATAATGGGCTCCCATGTTCTAACATCTTTATGTTTTGCCCTAAGTGGGAGACCAAGGTACTTAATAGACAAATTAGTGACTTTGCATCCTAAAATCCTGGCCAAACTAGCTTCATCCCTTCTATCATAGATATGGCGATACTAGTTTTCAAAGGACACTTTAAATCCTTTTTTTATTAACTAGCCTACACTCAGCAGATTTAGATCAATATCAAGTACATAAAGAACATCAGGAATTGTTTTTGCACGTGAACTTGTTGTAATTACAATAGTTCCTTTTTCTTTTGCACCAATATAACCACCATTTCCAATTCTGACCTTCGTTATTTCAGTGGATTTTAATTTCTTAAAAAGAGTGCTGTCACAAGTCATGTGATTGTACAACCACTGTTAATCAACCAACACTCTGAAGAGCTCCTTGTTGAAAAACACGTTGTCACAAAAATTTGGTCTTCTTCATCTTGATCGGCAACTTAGGCACCTGCTTCTTGCTTTTGAAATTTGCTTATCCAAATAACAGCTTCATGTCCAAGCTAATTGCATTTGCTGCACTTTGCAACTGGTCTCTTCCAGCAGTTAAATAATGTATGACCTTTTTTTGCCATAATGCTTACAAGGGGGGTACTTTCCCTTTGAGCTTCCACCCTTGCTTCGATTTTGATTATTTGAAGTGCTCTCACAACTCAAGACCTCATTCTTCTTAACGTTCTTCTTCCTGTTGTTCCTCTCGGCATTATGGTGTTTGACTGCCAAGGCTCCTTCAACAATACCATCTTGTCTCATAAGCCTCATTTGCTCTTGAGTCTGCAAAACATTTAACAACTCTGCCAATGTGATCTTGGACATATCCTTTGTGTTTTCCAAGATGGTTATTGGAGCTTCATATTTTTCAGGCACAGTAACCAGAATTTTCTCTACAATTCTTAAATCAGTAAAATCAGTGCCAAGTAACCTGACCTTGTTGACAACGCCAAGCAATATGTCTGAGTACTCTTTGATTGTCTCAGACTCTTTCATCTTTTGCAGCTCAAATTCCCTTATTTGCATTGCTCTTATCTTTTCATCTCCTACATATTTTTCATTCAGATAATCTCACACCTCTTTTGTTATTTCAAGAGTCATGATTCTTGTGAAAATGGTTGTTGAAACGGCAGCAAACAAAGTTGTTTTTGCCATTTACTTCTTGTTTTTGTTTTTCTTTGTGACTTTTGATATAAACTATGGTGGGATTATTTGGTAGCGGAGGAATTTCGTAATCCTCTTCCACAGCTTCCCATATATCTAAAGCTTCCAAGTATGTCTCCATGCCCAAATTTGGTAGTTGTCTTCGTCAAACACTGACAAAGCAATTGATGAGAGATTGGCTTCAGCTTCCATGACGTGTCAAAACTCACACACAGGTCCCTTAAGAAGAGAACTCTGATACCAAATGAAGGTTTTTAGAGATATAGAAAATTGAGAAATCTGAATTTCATAAAAGGATATCACTGGAAGACAACAACAAAAGGAAAAACTTACATTAAATAGATTTGAAAATTAAATACCCACTAAGTTCATGATCCTAAATTAACTGACCATTAAATTCATGATCCTTAACTACCCACTAAGTTCATGATTCTAAATTAACTAACCACTAAGTTCATGATTTTAAATTAACTAACTACTATGTTCATGATCCTCAGAATAAGGTATAACTACATATCATAAATTAAGAAAATAAAAAAAAAACTCTCCTAAAAACTAGGAAACACTACTTCATGTGCAGTCCTCAAGCAAATTTTAACAATAATACTACGCTTTTTATCTCAAAAGAAAGGAAAAAGAAAAATCAGTCATATTGTAGGCACCAAACCTAAACTGGGTAACCCACAATCCAATGTCTAGGATGAAGAAGATTCAGTTATAATGGCTTGGGGCTTTATAAATGTCACTATATATAAGCAACACTTGCATATTTCTGCCCGCCGCTAAAGAAGTTGGAGAAGATGTTGGAGAAACTTATTCCCAAATAAAAAATGCAGTCAGATCTATGATTTGACAACCAAAACTAGGTTTGCCATGCAAGAAAGCAAATCTGTGACAGAATATGCTAATTTACTGAAGAATTGATGGCAGGAACTAAATCAATATTGCTAGGAATAGCAAAAACGAATTAAAACTGATTAAATTGATTAAACTGAAATGAAAAAAAAAATCAACTAAACGGTTCCTACATTAATTTGGTTTTTCGATTTTTGCAGAAAATCATTTGCAAAAATTTATTAGTGACTGTTTAATGTAGTATCCTTATTGCCTTCAACTTTCCTATCAACTAGCACGAAAAAAAAAAAAATAGTTACATAGAGTGTGACTTGTGAGGAGAAAAAAATACTACATTAATTTGGTTTTTCGATTTCGGTTTTAGTACCACAGTTGGTCAGTTAGATAGTCACGGATGGTTAATTCGCTTTTTCAATTTTTTTGAGCAAAGTGACAGAAGCCAACCGATGCTCTCCCCTAACCCAGTAGTAATGCAATCCTTTGCATATCAACATAAAAAAAAAGAAAACTAAAATCAGCCCCCAAAAAAAAAAAGAAAAGCAAACATATATATGGAAATATATATAATGCACTTCTGAAAACCAATAGAAGAAAGAAAAGAAAAGAAAAAGTTGCACTTCACCAGCACTTCAAAGTAAAATGGTCCAGCATTCTCTAAATGCACATTAGCACTAACCTCAATTTAGCAAGCCGATTCATGCAAGTTGCAGCAGCATGTGCACCATAGTCCCTGAGGAGAACAGAATACAATCCATCCTTGTTGCCATTTCCTGAAGTAAATTTTTTTTCCATAGGTTACCACATAGCAAATATAAAAATTGAGGTTCACAATGTTATAATGGAAAATGAAACAGATACTCTTTCATCAGCCATGCAATTTGATCCTTTAATTTGCTCCAGCCTCATGAGTAAATAATCCCCTTAAACTATTCTCTTAATCTTCAACTCACAATCATCCTCTTTTATTTGATCTACAAGATTATTAAAATCCAAGTTCTTATTCTTCTTTGACTATTCTTCTGAATGTAGCGAAAGTAGGATATGAATCCAACTTATCTATCAGAGATGGTGAGATCAGGGAGAGAGGGAGACTCTAATGGTAGATATTTGGGTTTGCCTCTAGGTGCAAACTATAAGAA